CTGCTGAGATTTCATATTTATATACTCCTTAAAATCATATTTTTCATTAATTTAAATATGTTCATAATTTAAAGTTTTGTCTGCTAAGGTCAACAACAGGATCATCTCAGGTTCAGTTTTTATTGATGGCTTTCTTTTTTCTTTTCTATGAATTACATTTTTCTTTTTATTTATACCTCTTCTTTTATTTAAAAAAGCCCTGAACACTGGACTTTAAAGATAATCTGTTGTATATTCTGGATTCTGTAATATTCCTTCGATGAGTGTAGGTTCTTGTTTTAGCAGGTAGTTTGATTACTGGCATGAACTTGTGGTAAGCTTGGTTTTCTGCTTTTTTCAGTGTTGACCTATAGTTAGCCCAAGGTGTTTTCTAAGGCTCTCAGTAGGACTAAGCCTACAAACTCTGTCTTCTGTGGGGCTCCTGTAGGGGCTTGGTTTTAAGCTTTGTTGGGGCATGTCTAGAGTAGGTCTTACTCTAAGTCATAGTCCTTACTCATTATACCTCTTGGGTGTCACAGCAGGATGCCAGGTGTTTTAACAAAGTGTTAAGGAGACCCTTCCGCTCTGGCAGGGCAGAACTCAAACATCCCCAGTTTGGCTTTTTCCTGGCTCTGCTCAATCTCCAGTGTCTCTGTTCTGCCTTCAAAGTGCTAAAAGCAGTTATCTTGTATGCCTTGAGTGGTCTTGCCCTGCACATGTACAGCCCATCTCAGCCACAGACTTCTGGAGTCCCTCACTCCCTCTGAGATTCTCTCTACGCATACATAATAGAGTTACTTCAAATTTCATCACTAACTAAAAAACAGTATGTTCTATTCTTAAATTATATCAGTTTATTTATAAAATTCAATTGAAAACTACTCATGTGCCTTAATTCATTGGTGCAAGGCTAGAATATCTGTACAGGTATTTCTAACACTGGCAGCTGTGATAGAAATTTTTTTTTTCTTTTTTTGGTATATACATGTGTATATATATATATTTTTTTTTTTGCCGTATGTGGGCCTCTCACTGTTGTGGCCTCTCCCATTGTGGAGCACAGGCTCCGGACGAGCAGGCTCAACGGCCATGGCTCACGGGCCCAGCCGCTCCACAGCATGTGGGATCCTCCCAGACCGGGGCACGAACCCGTATCCCCTGCATCGGCAGGCGGACTCTCAACCACTGCGCCACCAGGGAAGCCCTACCTCCTCTTCAATGACCCACCATACACATCCCAGCAGCTCTGGCTGCCCTGAATTCTGATCTTTGCACCCCTCAGTTTGACAGGACTGCTTACTTGCTTTGTACAGATTGTAGCCAGAAAATCAGTCTCCTGGGCAATCATGAGAGATATCTCATACATTTTGTTTTTCTCTGAGATTATAGTCTTAGGCTGCCTATTGTCTACTCCCTGAAATCAGTTGCCTCATTTTTCTGACCAGTATTTGTATTCTTACAGTGGGAGGATTTGTCTGGTACTACTTATTCCATTTTGGCTGGAAGGGGAACTAGTTAATTCCTAATGATTAAGAGTATTAACTTTGGGCTTCCCTGGTGGCGCAGTGGTTGAGAGTCCGCCTGCCGATGCAGGGGACACGGGTTCGTGCCCCGGTCCGGGAAGATCCCACATGCCGCGGAGCGGCTGGGCCCGTGAGCCATGGCCGCTGAGCCTGCGTGTCCGGAGCCTGTGCTCCGCAACGGGAGAGGCCACAGCAGTGAGAGGCCCGCGTACAGCAAAAAAAAAAAAGAGTATTAACTTTGGATTCCAATAGACGTAGGTTGTAGTCTCTAATCTGTGTGTTTAGGGGCTTCTTAGTTTCTCAGATTCTCAGTTTCCTTATTTATAAATTGAGACTAATGCCTATCTCAAAGGGTTGTTAATAATATTAAGTGTATAGCAGATAGCTAATAAATATTAGCTACTACTACTACTTAATGTTTCTTAGTAAAATTATTTATATTGTTTGTAATTTTATACATTGTTAAAATTTTACTCTTATTCCACATTACAATGGAGGTCTGTAGAACTCAGTTATTTGTAAATTAGTCTTGTGTTTATGACTTTAATTATTTTAGAAAGTATATTTCTGTTTTAGAAAACATTTCTAAGACAGCTGAAAGAATTCTCTATGGAAAAGTAGATAACAACCCAATAATGTAAAAAAGGAAACAAATTTTAACATGGTGAATTTCAGCATGAAGTACTAGCTAAAAGCTGTGCAATAGGAAGAGATGGAAGCTTTCAAGCTTTGCTAGTGGTTGTTAGTTTTTAATTATTTGTGCAGAGGTAGGGACTTGGGGACAGAGTGATCAGAGAGTGATAACGTAATTTATTTTCAATTTTGGAATGTGTTGTTTATCTTTGGAGAAGATTTACCGTCTTAATAATGTTTGGTTTGTGTTAACATTCAAATGAATGCTTTTCCCCCCTGGGAGCAACTGTTAATTATTAGCAAGGAGAATCTGCGTTGCAAAGAAACATGATAGCTTCAGGACAAGGCAACACGCAATTTATAATTTAAAATGATCCATGTGTGGACAGTTGTGAGAACTGACTATATTGAGAATATTCTACCTTACTAAAAAAAAGTGTGACTCCTTAATAATTTAATACCCTACATAATGACTCATACACACACACACACACACACACACACACACACACACACAAACCAGAAAAACACCAAACAACTGGAGCAGAATTATCTTATTTGCAACTTACATAGAAATCAAAGGAAAGGAAGTAATTAGCATTTATTGAAGGTCCATTATGGGCCAGAGAAGGTGAAAAGTATTTTATCTGTTAACTTGGACAACCACTTCCAGATACATGTATATAATCATTCCTGTTTCACAGACAAGGACCCTGAATACCAAGGATTAAGACACTGTCCAGTTTAAGCAGCTGGGAAGCGATAGAGTAATAGATTTGAACTCCTTCCTGTTTGACTCCACTGTCCTTGCATTGTCCACTCTATTATTTTTGAATAGCAGGCAAATTTTACTTACTGTAGACATTTTCTTCTTCTGGCCTTTTCCCAATAATGCAATCTCGTAGTTGGCGTAGTTTTTTCTTAATGAGGGAACAACCAGGAAACAGAAGTCAAGATTCACAAATTTGTCATGGATTAAGATGAAAACTTTAACTACTATCACAGCATCACCACTACTACTTAGTGTTAATTTGGTACTTACAATGTCCCAATCACCGTCCTTGATACTTTACATGTATTATTTTACTTAATCCTCACAACTTCATGAAGTGGATAAAAAAACGTCATCATCTCATTTTACAGATATGGAAACTGAGCTACAGAGAGGTTAAGTAACTTTCCCAAATCACACAGTTATAAGTGTTAGAATCAGGGTAGAAACCCAGAGCCCAATTCTTTTGGGAGCTGTTTTCCCAATCGAACACCTGAGGCATCTAAATTGGCTATTTGGTGTCCAAAAGCAGGAGGCCAACACAGTGATGGGCTGCTGCTGTCTGAGCCCATCTCCAGCCTCTGCAGGGTACACGCCTTACTAGAAATTCCTTCTAAGAGCCAGGGACATGGTAGCAAATGATACACAAATTGGATTCCCTTCTTAACTCACCTGTGATCTTTGCTTTCCAAATATTCTACATTGAACATCTATTAACTATTTAACTGAAAGGTAAAGCAAGCTAACATTCAAAAAATCTGCTTTTAGAAGAGAACCTAGAGTAGCACTTTTCCTAAGGGTGGCCCCTGAAACCTAGAAACCACTTTTCCTAGAGTTGTTTTCATTGCCTTAAAGATCCCTTCCTATAAGTGGAGCAAGGGACTCACTGATTGTGAGCAGGAGTGAGGAGAGCTAAAGGCAAGGTTTTCTCAGCCATCTCACCTTTGACTCCAGGGATTCTACACGGGTCTTCATTATCCTAGAAACTCTTCTACTATTAACTCTGTATTTGTGCCATTTTTTCTCCTATTTTCCTAGGATAATAACTCTGTCAAGAATAATATAACTTCACAGCTACCTCTGAGAGATTCATTCTCAGGATACAAATGAACATTTTTGTAAACTACAAGAGTAATATTGAAAAGTATATGGGGATGAGTGTGTGTTGGGAAAACAGGGAGAACGTTCATTTTTTGTTGCTCTGACTTTTGTTCAGGCCCTTATGTTAAGGACTGACTAAAAAAACACAGGGAAAAAGCTCTTTGACATTGGTCTTGGCAATGATGTTTTGAATATGACTGAAAAAGCACACGCACCAAAAGCAAAAATAAACAACTGGGACTACATCAGACTAAAAAGCTTCTGCATGGCGAAAGAGACGATCAACAAAATTAAAAGGCACACTATGGACTGAGGGAAAATATCTGCAAATCATGTATCTGAGAAGGAGTCAATATCCAAAATATATAAAGAACTCACACAACTCAGTAGCAAAAGATCCCATATAATCTGATTAAAAAATGGGCAGAGGAGCTGAATAGACATCTCTCAAAGAAGACATAAAAATGGCCAACAGATACATGAAAAAATTCTCAACATCACTAATCAACAGGGAAATGCAAATCAAAGCCACAGTAGGATCTTACCTAAGAACTGTTAGAATGATTATCATCAAAAGGACACGAGGTAAGAGATAAGGTTATGGAGAAAAGGGAAGCCTTGTGCAGTGTTGGTGGAAATGTATATTGATACAGCCATTATGAAAATAAGTATGGAGGTTCCTCAAAACATTAAAAATAGTACCACCATATAAGTCAGCAATCCTACTTCTGGGTATTTATCCAAAGGAAATGAAATCAGGATTTCAAAGAAATAGCTGCATTTCCATGTTCATTGCAATAGCCAAGATATGGAAACCACGTAAGTGTCTATCAACAGGTGAATGGATAAAGAAGATGTGTTATATATGTATATATGTGTGTGTGTGTGTGTGTGTGTGTGTGTATACACACACACACACACACACAATGGAATATTATTCAGCAAGGAGAAAGAAGGAAATCCTACCATTTGCGGCAACATGGATGGACCTTGAGGGCATTATGTTAAGTGAAATAAGTCATATAGAGAAAGACAAATACTGTGTGATCTCACCTATGTGAACTCTAAAAAAGCCAAATTCATAGAAACAGAGTTGAATGATGGTTATCAGGGGCTGAGGAGTGGATGAAATGGGGAGATGTTGATGTTGGTCAAAGGGTACCAACTTCCAGTTATAAAATAAAAAGGTTCTGGGGATCTAATGTACAGCAGGATGATTATATTTAACAGTACTGTATTATATATATATTATATTTAGCAACTTGACAGTTGCTAAGAGAGTTAGCATTATATGTTCTCGTCACACAAAAACGGTAATTTTGTGACATGATGGAGGTGTTAGCTAATGCTATGGTGGTCATCATTTTGCAATATATCACATCAACCCGTTATACACTTTAAATTTAGACAAAGTCAATGATATCTCAATAAATTTGGGAAAGAAATGGAAAAGAACTGACTGATTCCTCCCAAAGTCCTCAGTCGGAGTCACAAACTTTAGACTCTGATGGAAAGTAATCTTAGTGTTTGTTCTTGTATTTACAGGTTAAATTTGTTTTGTTTTGTTTTGTTTTGCTTACTGTATTCATTATCCCATTATCCCTATATATTAGATAAGCCACATTGGTCTCAGAGTAGTTGAGTATAGACCACCTTAAATTCTTTCTAAAACAGTATTGAATATAAATACACAAATAACATGTAAACAACCAAGGGTTTAATAAAGCAACTAGTGAAACCCTTACCAAGAAGGTATTTAGGTTGGATCACTTTAAATTGTAAACTTTATTACTGAAGGGTCTAAGAAGGATGAAGTACAATTGACTTAACAAAACATATATAACTTATTTTCTAGCATTGCTAGGAAAGTGATTTGTAAGTCTGCACTTAGGCACTTTTTGCCCGTTTCGGCATAAGAAGGATGCTTGATGGTGATGGCAATGGTGTGGATTGAAAGCAATACTGTAGTTCTGACCATGAACAACAATCCGTTACAGAACTCTACAATCAGCATTCTTAGCATTTGTTTGGCAAAAGAACTGCCCTTGCTTAACACTGCAAAATCTTGACCAAGTCCAGTCACCTAACCACAACAAGAGCTATCCATAGAGACAGGTGATTTCTGACAAGGCTTGTGATCGCAGATGTATTGGAAAAGTCCCTTGCCTAAACGATATCTTGTTTATATGCCATATTGCTTGAATCACCATTGTGATTCATTTCCCTGTTGTTTAAAAATGTTTTCTTAAGCATTATTTTAAAATAAAAATGATCCTTGGGAAAGGTAGCATATTATGCTATTAATGATTATTTATACTTAGGCCTAATGTAGCTAATGAAATGTGTTTAATCAAACAGCTGCCCGAGAACTGGCTTTTAAGGTACTGGGGTTTTATGTGATGAGAAGAAAAAAACTGGTAAAATATTTTGGGAGTGGGAAGGCCTACTGGATAGCTAGAATATGGTCCTGATACCCTCGCTGAGGAATGTCATGGGGTGTATATTATATTACACAGAGTATATTTTATTTTCATTCTCCTCTTAGAACCACCTACTGTAGTCCCCTCTCAGGATGTAAATTATGTTTAAAGAAGACAAGCTTATCTGAAGTTAATACTCTTGGCATAATTTCTCTGTAAATCCTGACCGATATGTATATATATTCATATATATGCAAATCCTGATATATATATATATTTATGTAGGTACATATTTATATACATGCAAATCCTGATATAAATGTATATATATATTTATTTTTCCAAAGGTTAAGGAGAAGAGAAGATAAAACTTATTAAATATTACTTAGGACTATTGTCTGATATGATTTCAATCATTTTCTTGTTCCCTTGAAGTCTGGTCTACATAATACATTCTTCAGAATTCTGAGCACGTTAGTGTAAAGATGCTTCACCTTAATTTCAGCAATGAGATTCATAAAACATGCACTGTACTAAGGACAGCCTTATAAGTTGATTAGGTATTAGCTCTGATATACATGGTCTCAGCATTGAGTTCATCGATGGTTTGTAAACATGAAATCTGGGTATTGTCGAGCTTCTAATTGGTAGTTTAAAACCTCTTTTTTGTGTGTGGCTAGTTAAAAACAAAAGAACAGTTACCTGTATTTCTTGTTAAGAGAAAGAGGCTTACAAAGATGCTGGAGCTCTGCACCTGAGGGAATGCTCCAGAAGGGATTGGGGTCTGTATTACCTGCTGAATTATTTCCAGGCCAGTCTTCCCCATCTGCCAGTGTTTAAATTTCTCCAGGGCTTCGTCCACAGAGAGTTTCCCATTCTTGACTTTCTCTTGCAGGAGGATGAGTTCCTCCTGCCCAGAAGCAAGGCAGCCCCTTATGGTGGAAAAGGCTTGACTCTCCGTCTGAGATCTGTCTACAATATGAGGGAAGGGCATTTTAATGAGAAGTCTGCATATGACAACTGGGAAAAAAAAAGCACTCTAAAAAATAAGCAGTTTGAGTTTCTTGTTCTAGCTAGTCTATAAGCAGTTACAGAATAAATCAGTACAAATTTTTTAATGAGCTTCTTTCTAAGGATGGTCATGCCTCAGACCTAGTGTTATGGGTGAAAAGAATATGTCTCACCACTGAAAAACATAAAGGGATGAGGAGAGAAACAACAGCAAAAGTTCTGCACTAGGCTGGTGGTGGGCAGTGCCAATGTCATGTTCTTTTGTGAGGATTACTTTTAATTAGGTCCACAAAATACTTAGCATAGGGCCTGCTGCATAGTAAGCTAAATAAGAAAGAGTTAACACTATCATTACTAATAAATATTTATGGAATAAACACAATCTCTCCAGCTTTGGGAAAAAAGATCTCAACCAACATCCAAATGTCACAAGAGGTGCAGGATCATTTGAGAATTTATTCCTGAAAGATTTAAAATAAATAATTGTTGTTCCTTTTGTCGTGACCTGCTTCCTTTTCAAAAGAGTTTATTTTGGAACATGCTATGTATTATTTGCTCGGCACGATGAGAACATTCGATGGTCTGATGTCTCTTGTGTGGCTGGTAATGCCACACCAGACACTGGCCTGAGGAACAGTGACAGCAAATTGCAGACCACGGGTGAGTCAGTGTTCTGATGCTGCTTAAAGACATAAATGAACCTGTATGCTTTTAGGGACTCTCTGTACTCTCCAGGCTACCCCAATCTCTGTTACTCCCTATAAGTCTCTGGATGACTTCACACTTGTACTGCCTGCCTGGCTGCAGAACTCATTTGTGTTCTCATTTACATATTTCTCCTAAGTCCAACATAGTTATTGCATTATCTCAGCAGGGATTGGATGACTCAGCAGCAGCACAGGTCGTATGCACTATCAAATCCAAATATGCCCAGAGTCTAGAAGGAGACAAGAGGTAGTCCCGCCAAGCTGTAGGCAAGTTGGTAGTAAATTGGGCATATCGCTGGAGAAATTGCTCATTACTGGGAACTCTTTTTCAAGAAAGAAGTAGATCAATTAGACTGTATCTAGACCTGATTGACGGGATTTGTGAAATGGAGAGGGCATTCAAATTCTATAGTAATAAAGATTCATTGATAGGATTGGTTAGTCTGGAAATGAGAAGTTCAAGTACTTGATAGCAGTTTTAAGTATTTGATGGGAACTTGAGCCTTGGGGCAGTCTTGGAGTGACCTCTCATGTCCCTTTCAGTTTTGAGATTCCAGCAGTGAATCTTGGAACAGGGGCACAGAGAGGATTCTTTTTTTGTAAAGGTTCACATGCACATAAAACTGCTCCATGGCCAATCATTCTGATTCTCACGGGGGCTTTCTTGGCTTGTCTTTTCACTTCAGAAGTCCTATTCCCCCAGAACTAACAAGATGTCAACAGATTCTATACTCTAAATCTTTTCCTTCAGGGATGACAGAACATGAAATCCCAGGAGAATTGGAGAAGCAAAAGTCAGCCAGAGGGCTCAGTGTTTCAGCAGCCAAAAGCACAGGTAACAATTGAGATCTTGCTTCTTATACCACTTGCTTTTTATAGGTCTCCACAATCCAATTCAATTCGTAACATGCTGTTTGCAGTAGAATTCCATGTGCCATTCCTGCCAGAGTGTGGAGGTTTAGCATCGTCATTTAACAGCTATGCCATTTAACTAGCACCTCACTTCTGTCATCCCTTTGCCTAAGTGTGAATCCATTTTTATCACAGATACCCATGCAGCTGGATTTTCTGCTTTTATAGAAGTTATCTCAAGCCAAGCCTTCCCAGAAAATGGTACCAACTTCAGTTTTGCTATATGTGCACATTTAGCTGAATTAAAAAAAACCATTGAATTCTTTTAATAATATTCATTTCAATTATCCCTTCATATTTCAAATTTTAGCTACGAAAATATAAGTAAGATGACTTTTGGGGGGGAGGCAGGATTCAGTTTTACATGGTTGTGCAGAGACAACGAAAGAACAAAATTCAGGAGTGGCAGAAGTTGTAGACGGATTGAGTCCCGAAAGTGAGTTGTTTTACAACTAGACTAATTTTACATACATCTGCTTTTTCTTCTTTTTTTTTTTTCCCCACACTAAAAACATTAAAACCAATTGTCTTGATAAATTCCTATTCGGCATGACAAGCTGCAAAGAAAAATGATTAGGCCTTTTACCTCCTTTCTTCCTAAGGGCAGACTAATCAAACCAAAACATGCAACCTGTAATTTTTGGAAGGCTGTGCAAAATTTCTTTATTGCATTTAGATGTGACTATTTTATGGGGGGGTGGAAGGGTTTTTCCTTGCCCCTCAAATTTGTATTTATTATTAGTTTATTCTCATAAGAGTTAGTATGAGTTTAACATAATTTTCATTGAAAAGCATTTGTCAGACTGCTATTTGCCCACACGGTAGACTTGTTCTCTTATCGTAAAAGCTTCGAGACAAACTCCAGTTTCTAAAGTTTTAGTTCCTTTCAGATCAGTTCTTCTTTACAAGATTTTCCATTTGATCAAGTTTTGGTCAAATTAACATCAAGCAACCCGTCTGGTGGACATATGAATCTAGAGATTAGGTGAGAAAGCAAATTGAGCTTTTCATAAAAGTTCTTTCTACTACCAAGTGACTGGCTAGAAGAACATTTTTCCTGAAAAACTGGAAGTCAACAACTAGATTGGCCAACACCAAAGAACTTAAAATGTGAAATATTTACTTAGTAAATATTAGGTAGTCATTGAAATAATAATAATTTAAAAGACCAAGTGCAACGGAGAGTGTGGTGATTATACAAGGACAAGTACAAAAGCAGGATGCAAAATTGTATATATAAAAATTTTAACCATAAAAATGTGCATATAATAAAGCAGGCAGGGACAGTTTTAAAGATGATACAGGTCGTTCTATTGTGATGGTATCAGAAGTGATCACCTTTTCCTAATTTCCAACTTTCTGAAATCATACTATATTGCTTTTACAATAAGAAATTTCTCTCACTTTGCAAATAGGTTTCTCCATGGAATACACCCTTCCAAGCTATGCCAGATATACTATACCACGCTATACCATACTGTACTATCTTACCAAATTATTTTGTGAGCAGCTGGAACAAACTTGAAAGTAATAGGACTTAAAAAAAATCAGTGACCAAGGTTTAAATCTGAAGTTACTTTTTTGTTCTGTATCTAAGAAATTGGCAGCAAATGAGCTCAGGGTCACATGAGCAAATTAGGAGATGTAGTGTTGATGCATTTGTAACGTCCAAGCAAAGTATCCACATTTCCTTAACCTACAGCTGCTATTGACGGGTTCTCTCCTTGACTAAACTTTAGTCAGGCTCCTGAGTCCTTTTCCTAACTAGGGCTCACCTTTCGTACTTCCATGTCTGTATTTGCATTGCTCAGTTTTCATAAGAATCCTGCTGTTGCTTTAGCCAAAATTCCCCACCCTTGATATCTGATCACCTTCAGTATCTGTTTGGGTTCTTTTATCTTCCATCATCCTCCAGATTTGATCTGATCACTTCGCCTGCCTGGAGTAAGAATCCTGTTCAGTCAGTTTAGGGAGAATCTCTCTCGCCTCTGCTGTTCTTAGTAATTTCCCATCCACTTCTCACCCCTCCGACACACTCTGCTCCTGGGTTATAAATTCGCATTCTTCCTTGTGGCATTCAGAGCTGAGACTACTCTCTCCCATACTGTAAAATCCCATAGCAGCAATCCCTATATTGTTGTATATAATCCCCTGAATATAGTTGGCCTTACTGTTTGACAAGTGGCAGGATAATTTTTTCATTAACAGTATATTCTTTGCCACTTCACTTTAATTTGTAAATTCAGAGGTGAGTCCCCATGCCCTGCCCCACCACCATTTAGAAAACACAGACATGTACTAAAAAAGAAAATGACTATCACTCACTACTACACTCTTCAGAAATGTGGAGTATTAACACTTTGATGTTTCTCCTTTTTAAGTGTACATTGCTTTCTTTTCTTCTCTTTCTTTTTCTGAACTAGGTTTATACTGGTATGTTTCCAGCTCTTTTCTCTTATTCCTATAGCCTAAGAATGTTTCCATGCAATTAAATATTCTTTGAAACATGAGTTTTAGTGGCTGTATTATATTCTGAAATTTGTATATTCAGTAAAGTATTTAACCATTTTCCTACTGTTGGCTATTTTTTTGTTGTTTCCAGTTTTTCCCACAGTTATGTACTATTGGTGCTTAAAAGTCTTTAACATAAATCATTGGCTGTATTGCTATTTATTTTCTTAGGATAGACTCCTGAAAGTCTAATTTTTGAGTATGTACACTTTTAAAGCTGTTGATACTTAGTGATCAACTCCTTTCCTGGAAGTGTGTTGATAAATACCTCTCACCAGTTGGATAAGGGAATGACTGATTTGATGCACTTTTGATAATATTTTGCATTATTCAAGTTAAAAAAAAAAGGCACAAAAACTTTTAGTAATTTTATAACCTAAACCATTCTTTCACTGTTAAGTGATTCTTATGCCAATGTAATGCTAAATACTGTAGCTTTAAGCACTGCATAAGTACTAGACTTAATACACATGGCAAGTGGTGCTGACTTAATCTCTTTATTTTCCTAAATAGTTGAGTTTGAAATAACTCAGTGACAAAACTTGTCCTGGGTTACCCTTTGAGTTAAAACTTAATACAAATATTCCTTAGTTATTGGTCTAGTAATATTTAAAAAATTCCTTTCATCGCCTGACATAATTCTTTTAATAAGTTGACTTTATTTTATTAACACACTCTATTATTTAGAGTAGTTTTAGGTTCATAGTCAAACTGAATAGCAGGTACAGAGATCTCCTATATACCTCCAGTCCCACATATGAGTAGCCTCCCCCATTATCCACACTGCTCACCAGAGGTGTACATTTGTTACAGCTGATGAACTTACACTGA